GTGCAGCTGCCGTGCCACACGGTGATGCAGGTGCAGAGAACGTTCTCCACCGCACAGCGATGGAAGCTCCTCAGGACAGAGCTCCCAAGTCCAGCTCTCTTCAGCTTCCTGAGGAAGTAGAGACAATGGTGGGCCTTCTTTTCCAGACAAGAAGTGTTGACTCTCCAGGTGAGGTGACTGGATACATGCTCCCCCAGGTACCTGTAGCAGGAGACCACCTCCACAGCTGCTCCTCGAATGTGTCGGAGATGAAAAGGATCCTTGTTTCTTTTGAAATCCACCACCATCTCCTTGGTCTTCTTCACAATGATGCAGAGATTATTGTCTCTGCACTACTGCACCAGGTGTTCCACCTCCTCTCTGTGTTTGGACTCATCATTGTTCGTTATGCGTCCCACTACTGCTGTGTTGTCCGCAAATTTCACTATATGGCGGCTAGGCCTGTTGCAGTAAACAATAAATCAGTTAATCACGTGATAAATGAAAATTATCAACCTCATTTTCATTTATCAGCTTTATCGTGTCTCTCTCTTTCTACTGAAGACACTGGATGACAAAAGGCTCAACTCTGGTACTCTTCACTGACCCCTCCCTTTCTCTTTTCTCTTTAAAATCCATTTTAACAATCCAAAATCGCATTTTTGGATCGTTAAAAGCAGCTAAACTGAGAAGCTAAGCTAACATGCTGACTTCGGGGAAAAAAACTCCATCTTGTCGAAGCTCAAAAATTCACGGTTAAAGCCTGTTCCTTCGTGTAAAAAGTTGTTTTTCTCTGCAAAAAGATGCTGAGAACTTGTTACTGATTTTTTTTTTTTATTAAAAGCTTTGTGCGAAAAATGCTATGCTAAAGAGCTCAAACCACACCGAGCATCTGCCATTTTGAGAACCGAAGAGACAGCCCATGTCACGTCAAGGGGCCTCCCTCCTATTTTTCTTAAAAGGGACACGCTGCTTGCTCCTTCACTATCCATCCTTCAGTCTTATACTGCCATCCGGTGGTCAAAAAAAGGTACTACATGCAAAACAAATTAACGAACATTTCTTCTTAAATTTGACAACGATTACTAATTATTGTCAAATTTCAAACGGTATTATAATTTATCGCAATAATTTCTGAGACAATTACTCGCCCAGCAAAATTTGTTATCATGACAGGCCTAATTGCAGCTGGGGTGTCAGCTGGGTAGTCATATGTCAGCAGAGTGAATAGGAGGGGGCTCAGTACACAGCCCTGGGGCGAGCCAGTGCTGAGGGTGATGGAGGAGGAGACGATGTTGTGGATCCTGACAGTCTGAGGTCTGTTAGTCAGGAAGTCCAGAATCCAGTTCCCCAGTGTGAGACTCAGTCCAAGAAAGGAGAGCTTCTTCACCAGGGTCTGTGGGGTGATAGTGTTGAAGGCCGAGGAGAAATCCAGAAAGAGCAGATCGATGTAAGCATTTCTGCTCTCCAGGTGGTGAGGGCTGTGTGGACCACCAATGAGAGGGTGTCAGCAGTGGAGCCATTCCTTCTGTAGGCGTACTGATGTGGGTCCACAGTGACGTCGATGGAGTCCTTGATGTGGGTCATGACCAGCCTCTCAAAGCACTTCATGACCACCGATGTTCAGGCTATAGGTTGTAGTCATTCAGGTCTGTCACTGTAGAGCACTTGGGGACAGGGACAATAGTGGTGGACTTGAAGCAGATGGGGACAACTGCCATTGACAGTGATGTGTTGAAGATGTCCACCATCACCTCAGACAGGTGTTTGGGAATCTCATATTGTAATATTGTTTAGTTTTTATATTGTTTTAAAAGCCATTGACAGATGTACATAATTTTATTTACGCTGCAATGCATTCTGGGTAAATGACAGACATGTTGCTCCGGTGAAAGCTCCATTCAGCCTGAATGTTAATTTTGGACTTTATCTGCCGTTAAGCCAATTAATTTAAACTGGAGTGCGTTGATATTAACAGCTGTGATGCACGTTTTTGAAAATACCCATGAAAATGTTAAAATCAACTTTTCTTTGTTTTTCACCAGCCCGTGAACAATGCAGATTTCATAATTCCTGTGGAAATTGATGGAACAGTACATCAGGTAATGCCAGCGTCCTGTGTTTTCTCGTTGTTAAAAATTATCTTGTGTTTATATGCGTTTGCTATCAGGTGCTGTCTGAGCCTTAAGGGATTTGACTTTGGCTGCTCGGAGTCCGGTGACATACCTATGGGTTGGGCCTGATTCAAGTAATCCAGGATAGGTTTGTTCAGACAAGCACAGCCTGTTCTGGATGACTTGATTCAGGAACGCTGCCCTCAGACGCCAACGCCAGAAGAAAGAAAGAAAATATATACATTGAATCTCATCGAGTTCAACCTTTTTATCGCTGTGATTTATGCTGCAGCTCTTGTAGCTTCTGTTTAGCCTGACGCTGCTTGGTAACGTTTGATACATTTTTAAAGTCATGCATGAATTAAACTGGTGTCTTAGCGTTGTTTATGCTAAAGGAAAGCATTCCTGAGGTGCATATGATCTGCAGAAACATGTTGCTTTTAGAAGAAAGAGGTGAATGAGCCTGGTTTGAAGACTCTTGTGTGTTCCAGGTGTATGTCCTGAAGCGACCGCACGTCGACGAGTTCCTGAAGAGGATGGGGGAGCTGTTCGAGTGCGTTCTCTTTACTGCCAGTTTAGCTAAGGTAACAGTGAGCTAGCATGAGCTCGGTGCATGTAAACCCACAACAAACACTGACTTTAAACTGTGATGGCTGATTCATCAAAATGTTTGGAAAGAGTTGCCGCTCACAGTCCACGGTGTTTCCCCAACCATCATCTGAGGAGCCCCCCCGGGGCTCCTCAGATGATGGTCCCGGGGGGGACCATGAAGATCATGGCATGTAAGAAAATGTAAAAAGTCCGTACATGTTCACACATGACTCAATTTTCTGCAGCGTTAGAGACACCAAATGTCCCCTTTCCCCCATCATCATCATTTTTTTAACCCTCATGGACTTCTCTCGGTGAAAATCGGCTTCAAGTGTTTGTAGTTTATCATAAATATATTTTAAATATAAATATAAATAAATATATTTAAATTTAAATATATTTTAAATATATAAATATCTTCAACATTTTAAAAATGTTGGATTGTATACCTGGTTTACTGAGCATGGAATTTGTTGTTTTCAACCAGTTTGACAAGACTGTCAACAAGGAAGAGGGCCGGCAATGGAGGAGGGGTGTACCAAAGAGACCCATCTTATCACAAGCAGAACTGGTTTGTTCCACTTTCGAGTAAGCTGTTGGGGGAAGAATCAGTTTTGTTGTGCGTTTCCTCGACTGATGAAGCCTTCCAGACCGAAGGCGAAACGTTTCAGCACAAAAAAAAAGAAACTGTCCAGATGACCTGACTGAAAAATGTTGAATTTCTGAGACAGTTAATCGTCCAGCAAAATTTGTTATCATGACAGGCCTACTGTTTATTGAGAAACCTGATCACTAAAGGGAAGAATGAGTTTTTCAGTCTGTTCTACATCTGGGCAGCAGATACCCTTGTCCAGATGGAAGCAACCTGAACTCACCATGGAGTGGATGATCAGGATCTGCCAGAATCAGCCTGAACTTGTTCACTGACCTCGCCTCGTGTAGGTCAGTGAGGTTCTGTATGCCAGCAGTTTTGCTGCACATCCTGACAATTCCCGAGTTTGTTCCTGTTCTTAAATGTAAAAAGTTTAAACCAACAGATGAAGTTGAAAGTTAAAAGACTCAATAAAACATTTTCATAAAAGTAGAATCAACATTAAAACTAGGGATGCACAATATTGGAGTTTTGGCCAATATGCCGATATGTTAAAACTTCTTCGGCCATTAACTGATGCCGATACCTATATTTTATAAACGTTCTTTTGTCAAAACATAGCCCTCTTATTTAGGCTTATTTTCTACAAAAATTGTGCAACAGCTGTAAGAACTGGTGACATATTCAGTAACAGCCATATGATATGCATAGTACTTTAACTTGCATTAAATGTAAAGTGTTAAATGTTATTTATTAGCATTAGTCACCTGCGATGCTGTCTCACTTGTGGAGGCTTGTTCCAGGTTCCCAGCTGCAGTGTGGGATCCTCTGCACTCCTGTGCATGAAGGACAGCCTTTTTAAGTTCAAAGTTTTTGTCTTATCCACTGTGTCGTAAGACTAATCATGCTAACGGGGCTAACACAACATCCAAATGTCTGTGGTAAAACTCATCCAAGTGCTATCAGCTATTAGCTTCTCAATTGTAGTGATGCAGGGACAGTTTTGCTGTTAGCTTCACTACTAATTAATTATTCTTAAAGCTAGTTCAAGCACAAAGAATATTAATTGTTAATTACAACAGATTATTTTCTTTTTCGAGTTAAATTATGTGTCATGTGACCGAGATAACTGTCAGGATTGTTTAATCAGTGACATGAGACGCCATTTTATCTTTGACCCATCAGAATAAATGCGGTCATTTATTTAACAGAACCAAAATTTAACATCAAGACATGTACACGTTGATTTGCTGATCTGTTTCTGATTAATAAAAACTTGGCACGCTTTACTAATAAGACAACAGAACATTACTGTAGGCTGATTCACCTCTGAAGGCATCTAGATTACTGGCGAATAAAAGTTTAAGGGAAGGATTAGAGAAGTTGAAAGATGGATGAAGGAAGATGTATGTTTGTTGACCAGAATTGGCACGCTTCTTTCAACACCATCTCAAACCCCCGGTCCACTTAGTGCGCGACAACTCGTGACGTCTCTTTACCTTTGCAGATGATGGATCAGCTCCGGTCTAGATGTCCATATGCATGCTACCTTTACAGTGTCTCCGGTCAGGGTGGCTGGTCATCGTCAGAAGTCGTGTGATTTACTTCGTTCAACAGAACAAGCTTCCTTCAAAGTTGTAGGGCGTTATGCCCAGGTGAGTTCACAGCGAGGCGCTGTAACTCCGCTGGGATGGACGGACCCTCGTCTCACGGTCAAATCCATCAGCTATTGATTAAATCTGAAAGTTCCTTAGGAACTCTCAGGAAGACTCCATAGTCCCAAGAAAGACTCAGGAAAACTGCAGGAAGACCGCCAGAAGACTCAGAAGACTGAAAAAGACTCTAGGAAGACTGAAAGAAGACTCCAGAAGACTCTATAGTCCCAGGAAGTGTTGACTTTTAAAGAGTACTCCCTTCCGGTCACTTGGTACTTCCTGATTGGTTGAAACAACCAGCAGGGGCGGTGTTTCAGTGATGTCAGAGGGTTATTAAAAGTCAAGAGGGGATGCAGGAATGTTTAGGAACGGTTAGTACAGACAGAGAAATGTTTTGAAGAAGTGAGAAACTTTGTAGGTGCTAGCTTCTTATTTACTGTCTGCTAGGTTTAAAAACAAGACACTTCGTTCTAATAACTCGCTTTCTGACTTTTGACCGACATCCCTGACTTCTGACCAACATCACATCCACTCATTCAGACAGAAGATCAAAATGCACAATTACTTTGTAAATAGACATTTAACAAGATTTCTAATTCTAATGAGGTCTAAAAATCATTACTACCGTTTCACAGTTGATTTAAAATGAGTGGTTCACTTCAACATTTAGAAATGGTATGAACTAAAGACACTTTGATTATCAAGATATTCTAAAATAGTAATGATAATGTAAAAAAGAAGAGTGTTCTTTCAATTGATTAATTCAAGATACAATTAAATAGTCTCTTGATGAGCTATCCAAAAAAGTTCAATCTGGTCCTCTGGACATTCAAAAAAAACAAAAAACAAAACAAAGCAAAAAAATTTTTTATTTAACTATATATTTTTTTGCTTTGTTTTGTTTTTTGTTTTTTTTTTATGTCCAGAGGACCAGATTGAACTTTTTTGGATTTTTCTACCTGGATTATTGAGCATGCATCAGGATATCTTGATGAGCTAATTTGTATTTCTGGATTCAAATCAATGAAATAACAGTTCCTGTCCCATGAAGGTCTTCAGAGACAGATTGTTGTCGGAGGCCTAGTTCACTACACAATGGCGTCGGAAATGACGGCTTGTAACTCGGGTAACGTTACGTCGGAAAAATATCTTCGACTACGGACAATGTAGCGAGGCTCAACGTAGTCCATAAATCTTCGGAATCTTGACATCCTCACCAACGAAAAATAAAACTTCCACAACGCCGACATTTTGAATTTTCCTCTCCGCCGTGAGATCAGGTACGCGCACATAACGTCTTCGCATTACTCTGCTGCTGCAGGCAAAAACAGTACCTTTTATATCGGCGAGTTATTTTAATGGAATGGCTGATGTCCAATATTGAAATTTAATGCCAACATCGGCCGATACCGATACATGCCGATAATATCATGCATCCCTAATTAAAACTACTGAGCTTCCGATAAAAAATACATTCTCTGGTGGCCTTTTTTACAACGTGAGTTCACACGAGGGCCAAAGATCAGTTTGTCATCAAAAACAGTTCCCAGATATTTATATTGATGCACCACCTCACGCTGTAACGTTGGTGTTGTGCCCAGACGTTGGTGGCCTTTTTCCTTCTTCTCCTCTCTGAAGACCTCAGCTCAGTATTTCAGTCATTTTGTTTAGCATCATTTTCCTGTTGAATGAAATCATTTGGATCATTTGTCTGCAAAACACGTCCAAATCATCACCCCACCCCACCAGCATCTTGACCGGTGTTTACGTCACTCAGTCGCCTTCACTTTGACTGCAGACGTGTTGTGGTTTGTTCAGATGTGTTGTAATATGAAAGAATTTTAAATCCACGTTGGATTTGTCTTTGTGTCAGTACGCAGACCCCGTCTCCGATCTCCTGGACAAGTGGGGTGCGTTTCGCTGCCGCCTCTTTAGGGAGTCATGTGTCTTCCACCGAGGTAATTACGTCAAGGACCTGAGCCGCCTGGGTCGCGACCTCAACAAAGTCATCATTGTAGACAACTCCCCCGCCTCCTACATCTTCCACCCCGACAACGCGGTGAGTTTTTTGGATGTTAAAATGGGTTTGGTTTAGTTAGTGTGGATGCTAAATTTATTTATTTTTTTTTAAACAAGGTGCCCGTGGCCTCATGGTTCGATGACATGTCTGACACGGAGCTGCTGGACCTCATCCCGTTTTTTGAGAGGCTGAGCAAAGTGGATAACGTCTACACAGTCTTGAAGCAACAAGGGCCTACCAGCTAACGCCGCTCGGCCCGTCGCCTCAGCTCCGAACAAATCTTTGTTCAACGATAAAGGAAAATGGAAATTCAGCGATGCTCCAGCTATCACTGCCAGCCAGAACTCAGGCTGTGGACAGAGCCTCTACCCCCCACCCCCCAAAAAGCATCAAACCAAGCCTTTACTTGGGCATCTTGAGTGATTCTTGACCTGGTCAAACCTGGTCTGACATGAACCAGCTGATGTGAGGGTGAAAGGATAAATGTTTGAAGACATTTCTGCAGAGGCCAGAAGCCACGAACCCCCCACCCCACTGGGCACAGCTTGGAAAGCAGATCTCTTCATGGTGCGGTCCCGGAAACTGATTTTGGAAACGTTTACGTGTAAACACGTTTGATCGGTCATTGAAATGACGAATGTGCGCTGCGGATTCTTAACGTCTTTTAAAACATTTAGCATAATTACGCCCTTGCTTTGTAAGATGGCACACTATTGGTCTGGAGTCAAAAAAAAAAACATTTTGTTCTTTAAATCTCATTTCAGAGATATTTTTTTTGACAATGTAATCAAGTATTTTTGAAAAAAGTCTTGACAGTGTTATTGAGTAGCAATTCTTAAGAATAAATAAATTACAGCTAGGGCTGTAATCAAGAGTTAATGAAAATACGGAATTGATTGGACAGCACTTTACATGTTTGATGTGTAGTCTATAGTGCAAGGACCGTTTTTACAATACAGTAGTCCCTCGCTACTTCACGGTTCGACTTTCGCGGACTCACTCTTTTGCGATTTTTCAAATTGAGATTGAACATGACACAATTGGCTGATTGATGGACGAGCCATGGATTGTTTATTGAAAATAAATAATTTGAAATGATTTGGCACCTGTGTGCAGCCCACAGGTGCAGGGAGAAGCTCCCCTCCTGCAGCCTGTCATGATCTCCACTCTCAGCCTCCTGCGTCTCTCTGCCACGCCCACATTTCTCCTCTGTGCTGCATCTGCTGCATGAAGGGTTAACCCTTTGCTGTCCTGCTGCGCTTTTCTTCTCTTGTACCACTATCCCTACTTTGCGGTTTTTCACTTATCGCGGAGGGCCTGGAACCTAACGCTTGCGATAAACGAGGGACTACTGTACAATAGAATTATCTACTTATATTTTTACAATCAATCCACCAAGATTTAAAGAAGCCAAGCCCCGTGACTGGTGCCCCCAAAAACCTGACACTAACTTGTTCTCGTTAAGAGCAGGTTTTTAATAACGCTTTAAAGCACTTTCCTGTCAAACGTTTCCTCGACTCCTCCAGGTAAGAGGACCTCAACTGTCTTCCAGAAAAAATCTAAAGGAGTCAGTCGCTGTTGGTGATCAGAGGTGTGATTTGTTCCTTGTTGTACAAACTGTTTCCTGCATCTGAGAGTCAGTTGTGAGCAGAAGGAACGCTCTTTGTCTTCTCAGTTTGGATATTTTCCTCCCTGAGTGGTACTCGTAGGTTGGAAACGGGTTCGGTTCTAAATTAGTCTTGGAGCAAATTATGTTCAGATTTAGGTGTAAAATTCACCGTCAACACTATTAATAAACATCTATACGATGCAAATGCTCTACTTCTGTATTGTTTGTAATTACTTGCTGAGAATTAGTGTTTTTTGGGGACGTAAATTATGTAATTTGAACTCCGTATTCTAGTGAAGCCGCAGTAACATTTAAAAGATCAGAAGCAAAATCAATAATATAGATGCTTTTTTTTTTTGTTTGTTTGTTGTAACACGTGCGTTTGTGATGTTAAAGCCACATGTTCTGTACTCGTGATGCTCACAGCACTTTTACGTGCCGGCTGTCGGCTTTTATCATATAAGGGTCGACAGATTGACGTTTTTCGCTTACAGTTTACGATTTATTGAAATCTGCGATGTTGATATTGTAAAACTGATCGATTTTTGATGCAGCGCCCTACTTTTTAATATTTGACAACTGAAACGTAGCAGGATTTTTACACCTCATGGCCAAAGGCATTCTGGGAAATGTAGGAAAGGCCCTTTGTCACATTAAAAGATATGTGAGATGATTTAGAGCTGGATTTTAAAAAAAATATATATTTTACAATCGCATCTTGTTTTTTGTTTTTTTCCTCGTATTGGTGAATTTTAATTCAGCTGAGATAAAAGCAATATGCCTCTCTTGTTTGCGATATGACAATGTCTTGTGTTGACACTGATGAATGAAACCGCTGGGCTACGTTATTTATAAAATGTTTCCAGGCTTCCCACGGAGCAGGGAACATGTTAACTCTACCCTCTTTAAGAGCTATAGCATTATTTTTATATGTTAAACAAATTCTTGTCAATCAAAATTTGCCTTTTGTGGTTGAATAATACTGTTTTTATCTATATAGTTTTTCTGCCCAAGAGTGGTCCTGATAAAATATTTATAGTTTAATTTTCCTTTTGAAAGGTTTTGTGCAAGAACTAGTGCCATATTAGTAATTAGGATCTAAACGACCAGAAAAAAACTTTCTTGTAAGCCATTGACACATCTTGGTTAGATTTGCTGTTTTAAGTTTATTGGCAGAAGCAAAGTATTTATAGGAACGCTCATTTTGTCATCTGATTACTTTTATAACAAGTATCGTGTGTGGCCCATTCGCTGATACTGTACTTCTTACACATTAATAGATTTGTATATGACGTTTTGCACAGTAATAAAGCAAGCAAATTTGATTAATATATTGGAATATTCATTGTACTCTGTACTCTCGATTCAATAGATGTAACCTGATTTTTGGCTTTTGTTGTTTCCTCATACCAAATGATGTATGGACTGTATGTAACGTTGCCATTTGTTTCCCATAAATGCTAAGTGACGTGTCCTAGCTCCGGTTTTGTGTGCACATCTTTTGAAATTATTTTAGCTGAACAAGATTTGCAGGTAATCGACATTTGCATCAGGCATCACTAAAATACAGAGGTGTGTTACGACTGCATGCATTGCGTAAAGAAGTACGAGTTTAGTGTACTTTGTCTTTTTTTAAGTACTAATTCCAATCTGGTTTTACTCGAGTATGTTTTATTTCATTTTGTTTACATAGTTACATTTGAAATCCCGTTGGGTGATAACGAGCCATACAGAAGGAGTTTGATGTTAAATAAACCCATTATATAGATATATATTGCATATATGTAGACTGTGTATCTCTGCCCACTTGGTGCACCATTTCTGTTCTGTCAGACGTACAATAATTATCGTATTCCCCTCCATCCATCCATCCATCCATCCATTCTGCTTGTTCTGAAGTCGGGTCACGGGGGCAGCAGCTTGAGCAAGGAGGCCCAGACATCTCTTTCCACAGCCAGCTCTTCTGGGAGGATTCCAAGGCGTTCCCAGGCCAACCGAGAGTCTCCAGCATGTCCTGGGCAGTGGCGGTTCCTGATTTTGTTTTCCTTGGGGGGGGGGGGGGGGGCTACCATCTACTGGTCAAAAAAAGGTACTACACAGAAGGGAAGAAGCGTTTCTTCTTAAATTTGATACCAAGTTATATTTGTCCATGAAACCCAGTGAATCCAATCAGTTACTCAGACTACAAGCATGTCTTAAAGACAAAAACCTGGATGGCCATAAATTTTCTCTTTTTGAACACAGACAAAATGGGTTTTAGTTTTTGGACCTGAACATAAGAATACATTTTTCAGTCTTTCGCCCTCCTTGAATGGCATTAATCTGGCCTCCAGCTGTAGTGTTAAAAATCTTGGTGTTATTTTTGATCAGGACATGTCTTTTATCCCCCACATTAAAAATGTTACTAGAACTGCCTTCTTCCACCTTTGTAATGGCACTAAAATTAGAAACATCTAAAAATGATGCGGAAAAACTGGTCCATGCATTTGTCACGTCTAGACTGGACTATTGCAATGGTTTATTATCTGGGTGTCCAAATACTTCTTTAAAAAGTCTTCAGTTGATCCAAAATACTGCTGCCAGAGTCTTAACTGGAGTTAGTAGGAGAGGTCATATCTCTCCAGTTTTAGCTTCTCTCCACTGGCTCCCTATTAAGTCCAGAACTAAATTCAAAATTTACTTCTAACCTACAAAGCTCTCAACAACCTAGCTCCATCTTATATTACAGATCTTATTGTTCCATATTTTTCTAACAGAGCACTTCACTCTCAGATTGCAGGTTTACTTGCGGTTCCTAGAGTTTCCAAAAGCAGAATGGGAGGCAGATCTTTCAGTTAGCAGGCTCCTCTCTTGTGGAACCAACTTCCAGTTTCTGTCTGTAAGGCTGACACATTGTCCAGTTTTAAAACTGGGCTTAAGACTTTCCTTTTTGATAAATTCTATAGTTAGGACTGGCCTGTTATGCTGCTATAGTCTTAGACTACTGGAGGACAAATTGACCTCATTTCTTAAAATGAATAGATATAAATAAATGTGTGGCATGGAGGCTGCACAGCTGCAGAAAGAAAAGCTTTGCAGAGAGTGGTGAAGGCTGCACAGAAGTCTGTTGGTGTCACCCTCCCCACTATCACAGACATCTACACCTCCAGATGCAGGAAGAGGGCCACCTGCATCATGAAGGACCCCACTCGGGACCGCGAACACGGGTGAGGACGTCGCTCCATGAGCTAAAGTTAGGTTGTCCTTGAGTAGTTTTAACTGTTTGCGCAGCTGAAAGAGGACTTTAAGGTCTGGATTGGAATCCAGTTCGCCTATCGATGGAGTGTATTTGTCTGGGTCAGTCAGATACAGTATCATCAAGTTAATTGCAGGATCCAACTTCTGAAGTTGGATAATGTCTGGGTCAGTTGAAAATGATTTTTCATATTTTAAAAGAACTTGGCGAAGTTTGTCCCTTTCTTCATCAGATGTCAGAGCGTTGGCTTGGGCGACCACCTGTTCAATCTGTGATGAGACTGATAAGGGTTCTTGCTCTTTGGGGAGCTCCAACGAATCCCTTTCTGAGTCGTCGGACCTGTCTATGGGTAAGACACCATAGGTTTTAGGTCCTTGGTCGACGTCATCGGTTGAGAAAAGAACTATGGCCTGTGTTGGTTTTGTGAACCATACTGGCCCAGCTTCTTGACTCGGTACCAGGTTATCTGGGAGTCCTCCCAGAAATGGAATGCCTAGTTCAAAATCATGAAAATCAGTGGAAATCAACCATCCTAGCATAGTGTTTTTTGGGATCATCACCTCATCCGTGCCTGTGTTACACACATCAATAGATGTGGTCCTGGAGTCAAGGCTCACTTGGTTCGTGGCTTCCACGGACAGTCCCAAGTTGAAAAACGCAGGAGAAGGTTGAAAATATGCCTGTTTATGGCTAATAGCTTGTCCAGCTATGATGTGGATTCGCACCATTAGGTTAATCACCTGAGGTGGTACTGTGGTGGTTTGGTTGCTAGCAACCTGGCAGGCCTCTGGAATGGTCTGCCCAGCCTTAAGGTTTGCTGTGTCTAGCACAGGAGGATCCTTTGTGGCTGGTTTTAGGGACCACAGCACCTTGTTGATGGTGTCCACATGGACACCCAACCTTACCAAAATGTCAGAGCCTATGTAGGATGCATGTGGTAAGTTTTGGATCACGAGAAACGGGTGAACCAGTTCTCGTTGGTTCCAGTTCAGTTTTAGGTTAATGACTCCTTCAGCGGTCATTACCTGTGAACTATTGGGAACTAAGGGAAAGCG